AAATTTAAACCAAATCCATATTATGATATTTGAGTTATCAAAGATAAAGTTTTTTTTACAAAAAATGGCTGCCATTTTAAAATTTAGCTGCCATCTTGAAAATCCTTTCTCGAGCAGAGCTCCTATGTCCCTAAGCATCAGCATCTAAAATTTGAACCAAATCCATTCAATGGTATTAGAGTTATCAAAGATAATGTTTTTTTAAGAAAAATGGCCGCCATTTTGAAATTTGGCGGCCATTTTGAGAATGTTTTCTTGAGCAAGGCTCCTTTGTACCCAGGCATCAGCATATAAAATTTGAACCAAATCCATCCACTAGTATTTGAGTTATTAAAGATTATATTTTTTTCGAAAAATGGCCGCCATTTTGAATTAAGAGGCCATATTGAAAATTCCTTCTCGAGCAGAGGTCCTACACCCATAAGGCATAAGCCTATAGAATTTGAATGGAATCCGTCAACCGGTATTTGAGTTATTGCCCGGACACACGAACGGACTGACGAACGGACGGACGAACAGACGGATGGCTTTTCTATATCCCCCTCGAACTTCGTTCGGTGGGATAATTATTCTTAACTCTCTATTCTGTATAAATTTTGAAACGTCTTGTAAGAACTTTATTTTAATTATTTTATTCATGATATTTCACATTTTGCCACATTGAATGAAAAAAAAAGTATTCTATAAAAATGTGAACAGTACACAACGACCCACAATAAAAAAGGAACAAGTTGTTATGCCATCTCTCTTTTCCATGATTCTGAAGTTCTGTTTCATAATTGTATACATTAAATCTTAATAAATCAGATGTCAGCATTATTAATCTCATTTCAACAAAAAAGTGTGGTTATTTAGCCATTTCATTGAAGGGTGGGCCAAAAAAACTCCACTTTATAAGGTATAGGGTACGGGAAGGTCTCAAGGAGATGGTATAAAGGCACCCAATCTCAAAAATTCCTCAACTAAAGCTGGCAATTAGACAGGTTGAAAGAACCTTTGTCAACATTCCATTGATACTGCTATATCAGCATGGCGACTAAGACTAAAAGCTATCATCAAAGAGAGTGGCAGACCAATTTAAATCCTCTTTTAGATCAAATACAACCAAAGTTGAAGGACATGTTACATTATTTTATTACTTAGGACCCATGGCACTATATAACTGCAAAATTTGTTGAAATATGAAAAAGTCATAGTGTCTTGAAAAAAGTGGCGTTTTTTGGCCCACCCTGTTTTTATGAATTCCCTGGTTGATAACTGCATGTATTTCAGCTTCAGTAAACACACTAGTTTAAAGCTGCCTTTTTCGAAAAAACGCAATCTTGGGTTGTTCCTGGGGTCTCGAGTGATATTTAGAATTATAATGAGAGAATATACAATAATAAACAAATGGGGAAAATGCTGTGCAAAAATACTCACGATAAAGGTGTTATTATGATGATTGGTCCTTCGATTGCTTGGATGATCAGCCGGCCATTTGATTTTTCGAAGATTTCTAAATTTAGAATGTCACGTGACTAGCTAATTAGATGTTTAGATAAGATCAGTTAAATTACTCTCCCTAGTAAGTGATGTCGGGGTAGTACACAGGTAGAACGCTCGCTTAGCATGTGGACGTCCCGAGTTCGAATTCTCGCCTGATTTTTGATTGGCTTTGATTTTACGCTTAAAAACATTTTTAACTTCGTCAACTTTATATTAAAACATTTATTATCTTGTCAGTTGTATGAAAATGTAAAAAATAATATATGTCAGCTCATTGCCTTTTCGAGAACAGTCAAGGTTTAAGCAGGCCCGTAGCTAGGATTTGCCAAGGGGGGTTAAGTTTTCAAAAATTTCCAGGGGGGGATTCACATTTGACAATTTTGGCCCAAATTTGGCTAAAATCAATTGAGAAGTGCTCAAAATGGTGTAAAACTGTATGATTTTGGAAGAATTTTTGGCCAGGGGGGGCATAATGTAATACAGTATGCAAATAACATGTTTTATATTTCTCTGTGATAGCCTAGATGTAGTGTAGTATAATTATATTTATTTTGTCATGACCAATATGTCAGGTCATGACATCTAAATCAAGCAGCTAAATTCAATATCTCAGTTTCAGGTGTCAGGATTATGTAGTGGGTGATAGGTGGCATGCAAAGGTTGTTCTACAGATTAGTCAGCCTTTGAAAGAGGTAAATATTAATATAGATTAAGATAAAGATAGTTTGTAAGTACTTTTAAAAATAAGCAATCAAAGGACCATATTGAAACTGTATAATATGTAAAAATAGAAACATTTATACATGTCCTAACTTTTGTATATTTCAGTTTGTTTTGTAGTTTAGCTGTATGCTTCTCTTCTATGTTATTTTTGTAAAAAATTAACATGGCTAAAACTCCCTAAATTACAAAAGGCCACAGCTTTGCTGCACATTATACATAACTATCTGAAATATACAAAAGTTAGGACTTGTACATATGTTTCTATTTTTATATAGTGTTGCAATATAGTCATTTATTTGCCTATTTTCTAAATTCAAAGTACTTCCAAACATTTAAAATTTTACTGTAGACTTAGTTCTACAAGTAGAACTCAATGTACGGCCTTCTTTATTATTCTGATCTTTCTCAGATAGCTGTACACGGTACATTGAGTTCTACTTCCAAGCTTAATGCAACCATGAATCACATTTTTTCGATTGATGGAAACAAATTTATCTTGATAATATACGACAGATACTTGATAGTAATATAATAACACCTACCACCAATCGATTCAACTCATCCTTTTTGCGTAAAATATTCATTTATCATTTCGTTCAGTGTGTCAACATGATTTCGGATTTGCCATTTAGATGTTACCGTAATCTCAACCAACTTTTCCAAACAATTTTGAAAGCTGTTTCTAATACTCCTGAATGTATTCATCATCAAAGACACAGAGGGATATCGGATGATGTATTCATAAGGTATATATTATATGACAGAGATCACGATAGTTGAAAAAACTTGTTAGCCATTGTGGCTAAATCTTCCAAAAAAATTTTCGCCAACCAAAATATGAATTAGCCATTTTGAAAAACCGTAAAAAAGGGAACATTAAAAATGATGCAATGTCTGATGATGACAGTTTCACTTTTCAAAATCATATTCAGAAATAAAAAAAACGTCAATTAAAATTGAATGTAAAGCATCTGCCGCGAATGTGATCGGCATTTCACATAGTCTGCACGGTGTAATATCACCAATTCGTTTACCTTGTGATATCGGAGTCCCAAAATACTTCCAAACTGCCGACTTTTTCGACTTAGATGCCGGCTCGATTTTTCAATTTCTTTCCTACATCCGGCATAATGCACTCGATTTGCGAACGACGATGAAAAAATTTACGAACAAGCATTACCATCTACCTGAAATCGCGGGTCCGTTAATAACACTTTTCAATGCAAAGAAGTGTAAACTAGGTACGAGGTAAGTGAAAATATTTAATTTTTCAGAACGAAGTCGGAGGTGCTCCTCGCTATTTATACACGTTTTTATGCATTCTAGGGAAGGAATCTATGTACCGATATTAACCCTTTCTGTCCCATGTCCCGAACCGAAGCATCTGGACCGAAATTCGGTCCAATATCGGGAAACCGTGACAACTCTAATTCGCCATAACTGCGAAATACCTTTACATATTTTTCGCCACCTCTTTCGAAAATTCGCGATTGGCGAATGGCGAACGTCTACCGTGATCTCTGATTATATGGTTGCTTTGATCACTTTATTTCTGTCACAATACCATTTTATTAGGGTTTAATTAGTTACGCTTGTCGAAACAAGCGGAACTATAAAATTACGCACTTATGCCAAAATGATGATGGAGGTTACACCTAGCTGGGGCTATAAGACAAGTCAGATAAGAAACGAGGCCCCAGGCTTGGTCTAATTTTGTTGGACTACTGTAGACTTATACTATCATAACTATGGCTAATTTAAATATGATTTTGACTAAGTGGTGTCTTTTGAGCTTCTTCGACAGAAAATAATAACACGAATTTTTCTTAAGGTGTGATTTTAAGTATGTTAACATGAATCTGAAAATATATTTAAGGAATAAAGACCAAGATTTTATGATTTATGGCGTAATATATGACCAAAAAGTTTATTCTGTTCATTGTTAAAAGACCGAAATCGCGTGGCAATTGAGGTCTTTGGCAATGGCCAGAATAAAATTTGAGGTCATATATTATAAATCATAAAATCGAGGTCTTTGTTACGATTCTGATAGAGCCCATGGATAAACAGACAAGAAACAAAACTACAGTGGGGAACATAAAGAATTACTAAAGCTCTGAAAATTACATGCTGTCGCACATGTAATAAATTCTTACCTCAGTGTATTCAGTGCTCTATTTTCTCCGTCCTAGTAAGTCAAAATATAGTGGAATTTGTGTCCATAATGAGAAATAAGAACTTAAAAAGTCAGTTGAAGTGGATATTCACATGTTATGCCGACTCTTCAAATGTTGAGGTGATTTTGTAGCCTGATTACGCCACAACGGAGGATTGGCTCCCAGAATGCAACATGACACGTGCCAGCTTTCAAAATGCCGTTCGGCCATTTTGATGTTGCATTCTGGGAGTCAATCCTCCTTGGATAACAAACATGGCTATTCATGAAAACATTCGTTCGATTTGTAGGGATTTGTCCATCATTTGCAGGTATGAAGCTTTGGATTCATTTAATGTGCTACTTAAAGTGAACGGGAATTATTTTTCTAGAGCTTGGGAGAGTTTGAGACACGAAACTTGGAATTCAGCTCATTGTGACAACTTTTGATGGTTGAGGTTTATTTTTGTCCCCCACTTTATTTGCATTTATGAATTTTAGCGCTCATAGATACTCCAATATAGACCAGTTCATCAATTGTTCTAGCTATCGTAACGCCACGTATCATATTAGAATTCAAATTATAAGTGCAATAGAGCCAATAAACAGAGTTATAAGGAGAGAAACAAAATCTTACCTTTTATTTTCACATTCTTGTAAGTCTAAATGACAAACTAAGATGGTACAGTACAGAAAATAATGTTTTTGATATAACTTGATAATGTAAACACTAATTGTAGAAAACTTCAAAATTAGTATATTTTTACATAACATTTTGAAAAAAAAATACACTAGCCTGTATACAATCAATAAGAAATAAAAAGTCATAATTTCGCTTTTCGAAAAGTTTGAAATCTTTTATTCCAGACCGGAAATGGCTGCTCAGCACTTACATCATGTTGAAATAGGAGTAAAAAACTTGGATTTATCCCTGAAAGCATTTACTGAACAGTTTCAATTTGAATTGATAGCTACACGAGAAACCAAGGCATCGAAACAATGTGTGTTGAAAGCTGGTTCTTCAATAGTTGTGCTCACAGACCTAATGAAAAATCATAAAATAAATTTTACAAAAAATGCAGACGATGCATCAGGGGTGATAATTGATGATTTCATTTATGACTGGAGTTCACATTTTCATCAAGTAACTTCAGACAATAATAGAGTTGCTATTGATTCGGTTTTCAATGTTGCTTTAGAGGTAAAGAACATCGATAAATGTATTGCTAATGTGACTCAAAATGGGGGTGTCGTCCTACAACCTAACAAATCCATTTCTGACTCTAATGGCAGAATCAAGTATGCAATCATTAAGTCCTGTATTGGGAATGTGACACACACTTTGCTCGAGACTAAGGATTATTCTGGTGTGTTCCTGCCTGGATTTGATATAGAACATCCATTTGACAATTCAGAAAGGAAATCCAACCTAATCACGCATGTTGATCATGTTGCTTGTGTAGTGCCTATTGGCTGTTCAAATGCTGTACAAGATTGGTATGAACGATGCTTCAAAATGAAGCGATTTGTTGTGAACAGGTAAATGTTCTAGGAATTATTTAATCCCTTACCCTGTGAAGAATTCAATTAACATAAATCAAACATGCAGTTCAACTTGTTATTTTCATAGTCTAAATCTGATTTGCATGCCCACAGCCACCAAGAGTTTAAGGGATTCAGTCAAAAATTTTGTAACTAAATTTGATAAAATTTAACCATTGACTGATATATAAGTAGCATTGTGGTCCCGTTTATATCGATGACAAGAGTTGAAATGACCTCCTATTGGGAATACTTGACAGAGGGCACCGTTGAAAGACCCCAGACCCCTCTAGCTTGTGGTGCTCTGCACAATTGACACTTTCCATGGATGTGTGACACATCCCACCCATATGCTAAAATCACTCTCACCTCTTTAGAAATCGATATCACTCTAAACATGCTATCATTCTAAGCATGAAGAGTTAGAAAAGTCTGTAAACTCGCTCAAAAATCCAGTCGGCCCCAGGTTTTTTAAGAGTGTGTCTAATGAACCGTCCTTACATGCTTTTGCTCCAAGTTTCAAAGTTTCAAGTTTTATTACCTTATAACCAAAAGAGGGTTTCTTTGTCAGTACTGTATCTAAAAAATGGGAAAATTTGCCTTACCTTACTCTCTGTATGTCAGTAATGCTAAACATTGTCTGTCTGATAGTTTTATAATAGGGTCTGTTGCTTTGTTGTGTGATATTTATCAAGCCTAATAACTAGTAAAAATTCTAGTTTTCACAATTCAGACCAAAATTGGTCAAAATATGCCCATTTTTCATGATTTTTCTCATTTTCAAGTGGGTGCAAAATCTCAGGTGGGCGCTGCGTCTACTTGCTACTAATTTTGGGGAGATCACTTCAAATATACTGTGTTTACTATATTTTTAGTGAAGAAGATATTCTAGATGGCTACGTTATCAAGGACATGGGGGTTGGTATGAAACTGATGGCACTGGAATACTGGAAATGTTCTGAGGTTGGTTTACAATCTCAACATGAAGATGGTCTAAAATTAGTTTTAGCAGAACCATTACCCGGTGAAGGTAAGGAGATAAGATTAGATAGGATTTTACAACTTTCTAAGTACAGAACATGCATAGAATCACAAAAACCCACGGTTCATACTGAATAGAAATGTTAACAAAATTAAGGTATGCATCAGCAAGAATAATTAAATTCTGAGTAGCTTATTGGCAGTTTGTTTTTGAAGACTGAAGATGGGATGAAACATTTCACTTTTGTAATGTTGAAAATCTTGACCAATTATGTAATTTTCAAAACTTTAACCAATTATGTAATGCTCAAAACATTGACAAATTATGTAATGCTGAAAACCTTAACCAATTTTGTAATGTCCAAAACCTTGACCAATTATGTAATTCTCAAAACCTTGACCAATTATATAATGCTCAAAACCTTGACCAATTATGTAGTGCTTAAAATTTTGACAAATTATGTAATATTCAAACCCTCGACAAATTATATGATGCTCAAAACCTTAACCAATTTTGTAATGTTCAAAACCTTGACCAATTATGAAATGCTCGAAACATTAACCAATTTTGTAATGTTAAAAACCTTGACCAATTATATAATGCTCGAAACCTTAACCAATTTTGTAATGTTCAAAACTTTGACAAGTTACGCAATGCTCAAAACATTAACCAATATTGTAATGTTCAAAACCTTGACCAATTATGTAATGCTCGAAACATTAACCAATTTTGTAATGTTAAAAACCTTGACCAATTATATAATGCTCGAAACCTTAACCAATTTTGTAATGTTCAAAACTTTGACCAATTATGCAATGCTCAAAACCTTAACCAATTTTGTAATGTTCAAAACCTTGGCCAATTATATAATGCTCAAAACCTTAACCAATTTTGTAATGTTCAAGACCTTGACCAATGTTCAAAAACTTGACCAGTTATGTGATTCTCAAAACCTTAATCAATTATGTAATGCTTGATAACTTGACTATTTTCACAGATTTCTTCCTCTTATTAAAATATTTAGCCTTATTTTTAATTAGGTGCAATTTATTTTTTGAGTTTATTTAAAGGCAGAATCTGATCTATAATGGGGTGACAAAATTACAAGCAACATGTATAACTGACCTACCAATCTATTCTTTACAATGTCAAATACAATATCTCCCAAAAGATTTGGAATATGTTATAAATTGGTGAAGTTATTAATGATTCAAAGTGCAAAAATGAGTGAAAAATGTTTAAATTATCCCAAATAATAAGAATGGTAACCATTCTTATAGAAAAATAATACATTATTGTAAAAATCTTTAGTTTTCCTAGAATAAAGTATGCACTTTTGTGATTTTTAGATAATAGGCATGACAAGGAATGACATGAGCCAAAAATATTCTAAAATTGAAACAATTTTTTGTTTAGCCTGCTCGCTATATCTGATTCTCTCTTTAACTTTGTGCAGCTTTTATTTCAAAGAATTATGTCTTTGTGAAAATATGTATGTTTGTGTATTTTGATTTAAAAGGCAATTGAGTAATTTAATGTATTATGCCTGCGTTCTCAGGACTTATATATGCCACTTTCATGAGAGTAAATATAAATAGTGAAAATATCTTAATAGGCTTCTAATTTAATCTCTTATAAACTGTCACAAAATGTATAAATCATGGATTGTATAATTATCCATGACGAGTGAGGTTTCAGGTACATAACAGTGGGATAAACAATTTATATCTTTGCTAACAGGGACATATATATCTCCCGCAGTGTATCTCCCATTCCAAAATTTCCAGGAAAAAATTTTGTTCAGGTAGAAACAGTGAATTTGTGAGGCCTAGGCCTCGTGAATTTTGCTTGACCAAAATGTTAATGAAATTCTCAATGATAATGAGAACACTTTAATCAAACCTGGATATGGGTGTTTCGAAAACCTTATTTATGAACCTCACTTGTCATAGGATAATTTAGTTATGCAATGCTCGGTTTTGAATATGAGTACATATATATCCCTCGGTAAGTATGATATCTTACCTTAGACTCTCCAGGCCCTAAATTAAGATTTATTAATGTACCCATGCTAACATGTTATTGCTTATCAACATTTATAGATGAATTTTGCATGATATTGAATATGGATTTTCAGGGCAATAGTAGGATATCATTTAATTGCCCTTTAGAATAAAACATATATTCAATCCCTTCCAGTATTGGATCTTTAGTTATTCATATTCCAGGGACAAATCAATTGACTACGTTCTTAGAGGAGCACGGCGGGCCAGGTGTCCAGCATATTGGATTTCTGACAAATGACATCACGGGCACTGTATCCGTACTTCAGAAGCGTGGAGTGGACTTTCTACACCCACCCCATACTTACTATTCTGAGGTAGATATTTTCATAAGGAGTGTGTGCATATTGTAATTTTCCAGCAAAATTAGCTCTTAATTGCTCAAAATTGACAAAAAGTGCAGGATTTCATAATGATGATGTCCTTGTAACTATGACACTATGGAGATCACCAAAATGGAGATCACCAAAATAATTGGAAATTAAATTATCTGCCCATTTCCAAAATTGGTCCCATTTGAAGGAAATGCATCAAAAATTGAAGGAGAACTGGTCTATGAGAAACCATAGCCTTGAGAAACTGTGTACATATATATTTCTACCTTGTTGTTATAGATTGGTAAGTTAGATGAGATGCTCTCGGTAGGTGCTGATGTAAAAGCCCTCGAGGAACTTGGAATTCTACTCGATAGTGAGGCTGATGCAGAAAATGATAAGCAGAAAGCCAGGTATAATAATTATACTCCTAGATCATTTGTCTTACTACTGTGTTATTTTGATCATAAAGTAGGTCAACATTTTGAGGATTGGCGAAGTAACCATAGTGATTCTGCAGAATTATGACACAGGTGCAAAAATGACATGTTTTACAGTATTTGAATATATTTTTCAGGTACCTACTTCAAAAGTTTACAAAACCAATATTTGATCGAAACACATTCTTCTTGGAGATATTACAAAGATGTGGAGCAACAGGATTTGGTGCGGGGAACATCTCTGCCCTCTGGCGGGCAGTCCAAGCTTTTCTTAGCGAAAATAAATTGGCAGAAAATAAACAATAAACACAGAGGAACTACGAGGGTTGTCCCATAAGTCTTGAAATTTTTATTCTTATTCATAGAATATTTGAGATACAATGATAAAAATTTCACATTTTCTAACGTAGATATATTTCTACTATCTCTGTAAGTTTCATCGCATAATAATAATAATACCAATTTTCAGCCAAATTCATTAAAATCTTTTTGAATTAGAATAAAAATTTCAAGACTTATGGGACAACCCTCGTATAAAGAAATTTGAACAATAAACACCCAAGGATATTATTTATAAAACCCATTATTTAATTGTTTCGTCAACCTATGAGAATACAAAAAATAGATCTTCCAAGATGTACTGGTTAGCTTCCGATGTAATGGTTGTGCTTCCATTTTATAGAGTTTGATGGGATCTGATTGACTTGAATCTCACATATTCATTAAGAATATTTACACTTACACACTGTATGAAAAGCTGATCCAAAACCAACAAGGTTTGATAGATCCACATGTATTTTGAATCTCACAATATTTTCACTTTCATAATATTTACACTCACAATATTTTCACATTCATAATATTTACACTTGCAAATGATATGTAAACTAGTTACCAGTCCCTTTTAATGACAAAATAAGTAGGCCTAGTACAAATGAATCTGTTGAAAGTCTACAAAAAACATAATTTTGATAAAATACCCAGTCATAGGCCCTTTTTACACTGGCATGTGAAATGCTTGATATTAATGCAAAATAGGAGAAAGTATATTGATTCTATATTTGCATTTAGTTAAAACCCAAAATTTAAAAGAAAACAAATTTTGGGAAATTCATTGATTTGTTTTATGCAAGTTTTATAAATGCAATGTTTTTGTAATCCATATGCTGTGCACTAGTGAAAGACCATGCATTATTGAAATACCATGCATTATTGAAATGTCAATACCATGCATTATTGAAATGTCAATACCATGCATTTATGAAATACAGTACTATGCATTTTACAGCCGTACAAATAATTGATGTCAATAGTAAAATGTGCGAAAGAGCAGTTTTTTAGAATTCTTTAAAATGTGCATCCAATGTGACACAAAACAAGGATTGAACTTTATATGGTTTAAATATTTATGTATTACATGTTTTTCATTGGGCCTATTTTGAGTTTGTTATTCAACATGTGCGTCAAATGTGACATAAACCACAGATTAAACTTTGTATGGTCTAAAGATTTATGTCTAACTTATTTATTTATAAATAGTGCATAGAAATGTTTGTGAAATAAATTATAAAGTATCCCCATATAAGAATTGAAACATCATTGTTTCTTCTCTAACTCACTCACATGACAAGGCAATGATAGATCATCAGTAGGTTTGACACAAGACAATGGACCATTTGCTATATAGAGATGGATAAATAGATGGTACCATGTGTGTTGGTAGGGCCAGAATACTATTCATAATATACAGACAACTGGCGAAAAGTCTTTTTTTCTTGATTGTTTACCAAAAGAGGAGGGAAAGCCCCAGAGTTTAAAGATGACAGACATAATTACGTCTCTTGCTTACCACCTTCGTTCGAATTTTCAACAAGTTATCAAATACTACACTTCGATGGGATGTTTTAATTGATATAGGCATATTCCGTACACCTTTCTTTATCTTGGTGTGAAATGAGAAGCTATGATATTGGTTAACACGCCAGAAATGAACATAAAATTATTCGAAGCGTATTTCGAAAAATGTTAAAACCGCCATTGATGACGTCATTTGTTTGTCGACTTTTGACCATTCAGCAACAATGTCATCTCAATACAGATTTACATTATAAGCATATGTCATCTTTGAATCCTGGTGTTTCTCCCCCTCTGGTTTACCAAGTATTTCCATTTGGATTTTATTAAAATTATTAACGTTAAAAGAGTCAATGACCTTTTTAAGATTTTTTAACGTTGTGTCAATGAAAAGGAATAAAGGTAAAAAACTGCAAAAGGTTGTTTTTATCGAAAATTCTACACAGAATTCAAATATGCCATCAAATAGAAGAAAATACCAAAAGTGGGTTTAGCTCTTTAAAATTCATAAAAGTATTTCATGGAAGATTGACTCCCAGGATCGAAACTCAATATTTTCCAACAATGAAAACATTGAAAGGAGCAGGGAAAGTATTGCAACAGACTTTTGATAATTTTGACAGTTGATAATTTTTTTGTGAGTAGTTTCTGGCTGGTAAAAAGTAAATGCTTGGGAAAGGCGAATCTATAATCTTCAAGAAAAGTTCAAAGAATAGTTTCCAGATCAATTGGATTATCTTATAATCCATGTTTAATCCACCCATCAACAAGCTTTTTCAAAATACATTCGTCATTTTCACTATCGTCCCTCATTTTTTTTACAATTTTTCATGCAAAGTTACATTGTACTTGAACACATGTTTCATCAAGTAAAATGTGTAAGGAACTCCATGAAGTTTGTTTTTGTGTTTTTTTTGAAAAAATGAACCTCTTAAAATGCATGTTTACAAAAATAATTTAGGAGTGATGTAAAAGATGGCAATGTTTTTCAATAATAACATGCATAGGTGGGTGAATTACTCATGTGTGTTGTGTTTTAATCCTGCATTCACTGACTGAGTTAGCCTATTGAAAAATCGTAGAGATTAATAATACAAACAGTAATACTATGAATACTTCTACTTCAAGCTCAAATAGCGCTTTCAGGGTCCTGTGTTGAAATACTAGATCACCTTATGTGCATGAATTTTCAAGAGAAACCATCAGTGCAAGCAATTAAATGAAAGCATCATCCGAACATCACTTGAAAAGTACTAAAGTGGTGAAAAATTGCTGGATGTTGACAGAAAATGTGCCTAGGGGAGAGGGTCGTCTCTCAACCCCCCTCCACCCCCTCCCTGATCACGGGACTAATACATGTGATATGGCAAAGTCCAATTCATAGATTAAGTTTCCCTTGCAGTCTTGTTGGCATTTTTATTAGAGTTCATGTTTTGTTTATGTTAATGGGTGAGTGGAAGACCCTTGGGTGGGAATCAAATATAAAATGTTTTCTAAAATATATATTTGAAATACTTTGTGTATGTACAGTCACAAACTCTAGGCAACATTAACTAGTAATGGGGCAACACCTCAACTCAATTGAGTGAATGTGTAAACCATTTAAGGAACAAAAAACATTACATAAAACAAACTCAGCATGCAAACATGTAAAACTGGCATGGCAAAACAATAGATAGTGAAACTGAATAATAAAAGCACATACGACTAGAAAACAAGGGATTAATGAACACAAGTGTAAAGTAATGAAGGGACCTGTTAAAATGACATGAATGGGGATTGGTCAATTTGAATAGTAGAAATATAAAAAATGTGAAAATTAGCCAGGTAGAGGGGGAGAGATAAAGGGAGCTGCTGCTCCCCCAAGAGATTCTTTCAAAATGATGCAGTTTCTCACCAATCTGAGCACTTCGCATGATTTTTTAGCCAAAACTGTCAAAAAGTTCATCCCTAGGCAAAAGCTTTGCCCTTGGTAAAACTGCTCCTACCCCTTGGTAAAAGCTGGCTACAGACTGTGTAAAACACTTGTGTGAGAACTTGAACATGAACGAGTACTGTTATGACCCCCAGTAATGTTGTCCATCTCTCAACTGGTTTAACTGGGGACCATTACATCAATTGGCATTATATCAATCAGGAAACAAAAAGAGGCCAGTGATGTGAAAATAGTCAATAGCACGGTGTTATAGCATGACGGTTACGCCACCTCTGAAAACGAGGTTGGACAGCTACGTTCACTAATTTATCCAATAAAATGGCCGCGATGGAAGAGAAAACTAAGGTTGGCGCATTATTTTCTATTTCTGTGTATCAATGAAAGGATGAACGATTTATGTAAAAATCGCATTCGGTGATACTTTCAGTAATGTATATTTTGAACGTAGCCTTTGCAAATTGATGCCCGGGGATAACATGAAATAAGAGAAAAACTGTCGAGTTTGAAATTCAAAACTACACAAAAATTTAGTAATTTGTTTATTTTTGTTTTTGTTGTTAGGGCATGGTCTACATTGCCTAAAAACCTTGTGGTATATAGATGTAACCTACATACGATCATACAAAGCCAATTGAGCATTGGAAACCACCTATGTTTTACTCAAGCCATAATAATGTATTTGAATTTGCAGTAGTTATACACAGTTTACTTATACTTACAGTTAATATTTTGAGTGGCTCATGTACTGAGACAACACGAGAATGGACCAAATATTATAAACTTTGATATCTCAGTCGGTAGGTTTACAGATTATATTCTGTTTCTTGTAGACCACCTGGCAGATTTGACCCAGTCTTTATAACCAACCATATATACGTCACCGAATGGAACTAGTTTAAAAGGAAATCTTATCTGTGAATATTTCCTACAGGCGAGAAAGAGGACATGCTGCCTTTCCCATCCGCCATTTTTTGTTATCGTTACCGCAAAATTTTGCAAATCGCCTTGACGTAACCGTCATGCTAAAACACCGTGAATAGGGGACCATAAGTTTACACATTCCATGTGTACGTTCATCAAAATAGTGCGATCTTAACCTCCCTAATAACTGAAATTGTTGACTCAACCAATAGAATCATTCTATGTTTGTTTATATTTGTTCACATTAATATGGAAGAAAATCGGACATTTTGCTAAAAAGATGTTATTGTAAATCTTAGAAACAATGATAAAGGTAGTATACACCACACACTCAATGGTATTGATTGTGGTTTTCAGAGACTCTCAATAGGGACTTTAAGCTTGCAATGTTTTTCACAACCTAAATGTGAATGGAAAATATTTAGCGATGCATTTGTATGGGCGATTGGTCATAGGTTGGCGTTTCGATTTTATATGCAAGCTTAATCTCCCTAATGTTAACATTAAGGTAAGAGTGTATGTTACTCATAACATTTTCTTAGGGTAACATTTCTTGAATTGATGAATATGCAAAAATTATTCTTAGCATATCATCCTTCATTTCATTATTTGAATAATCAATCTGGAGATAAACTCAAATAAGGAAGTGTGTTATAAAACATCATCATATATGTTCAATGTTTTTTCAGAAGCTGGATCAAAATATTTGTCTTACTAAAATTATTGGCAAAGGTATGATGTACTAAATTGTACTGTATTTATGATTTTAATAGGACTGTACCTCGTGAATCATTACTGATAAACAAGATACAGAAAACCTGTTCAAAGTAAATGCTATAATTAGGCATCATAGAAATTATCATAAAGAGAGGTATTTAGAATTTTTTAGCAACTTATAAATAATAAAAAAAGAGACTTCTACAAACCATCAGTGTAAAACTTACAAGTGATAGCACAGTGTGAAAAACAAGCACCAGAGAATAAACAAAGGTGGCATCAAAGCACCTAGTACAGATGGATATAAACAAACAAACAAAGCAACTTACACACACACACACAGGTTTAACTGCACTCAAACATTAAACAGTCAACTTGACAGGTATTCAGAATTTTTGGGGAAATGCTGCGGTTATGCTCCATTGATTAAACAGGGGATCAAACAGCAGGGGATCAAACAAGTCCAACCATTCATTTATGAAAACATTTTGAACTAACTTTATGGCACACTAATGACATCTTATATGAGTGTGCTGTACTAAAAGCATAGCTTTTAGATCCCCATTGGATCCCCTTATATTGGATTATCATAATCCTAATCCACGAGGAGTTCCTTATATATTTTAAGTGATGAAACATGTGTTCAAGTACAATGTAACTTTGCATGAAAATTGTAAGAAAAAATGAGGGACGATGGTGAAAATGACGATTGTATTTTGAAAAAAGCTTGTTGATGGGTGGATTAAACATGGCTTATGAGATAATCCAATTGATCTTGAAACCATTCTTTGAATTTTTCTTAAAGATTATACATTGGCCTTTCATATGCATTCATTTTTGTACAGCCAGAAACTACTAGAAAAAAATTATTTACTGTCAAAAATCTGTTGCGATACTTTCCCTCGCTCTTTTGTTATTTTCTGAAATTATAACGGACTATAAATTCTAAATAAACAGTTTAAAATATTCGAACCAATATCTCGATCATTTCTTGTGAGTATTGGAATTTTTTCGTAAGGAAATAAGACCAAAATTCATGATTCAAATGTTAAGGTGAACAAAATGGCGGCTGTTTAATTCGAATTTTGTATCACAACATGCCCAAATATGGAACAGAATATCAATGTTGCACTCTGGGAGCCAATCCTCCTTGACAGTAGATGCAATTTGGACCATCAACAGACTCATTCAAATCTTTCCTAAAAATCTAATAAAAATAGGCATTGTGCCTCATATTCGGGAGAAAATTCGAGAGCCAAATAATAGATCAACCCTATGCAGAATATATTATGAACTCCTCTTTTCAACTGGTTTGTAACAGGGCCTAATCACAATGATTTTCTAAATACTTCATACTCAATCAGGCAAATAAAGGCAACAGAGCAGAGAGTAGTTCCCAGGAAACACTTTTTAAATCGTACTTATTTTTCCTAGTACCATTCATACTGTTTTTATAAGTTGTAATTGGAATTAGTTTTTCAAAGGAACAATGCATCTTATTAAACAAACCGACACAGTTTTGCAGATTTTAATTTTGACTCAAACAAATCCAACATAAAATAATGTATTTTTCATAAACAGAATTTCTATTTATTGTGACTAATACTGGTACATTAACGATAGATACTACTTTACACCCGACATTAAATAAAATCAAACATTTGCCCATCTCATGCTCTATACACCAGGAAAATAATGTTTAGGCATATATTACAGACTTGATACAAAATGAAATTGTGAGAAATTAACAATACCATTCTACTTCATCCTTGATTTACATCTCATTTAAGAGTGCAAAAATGTCAAACATCTAAAAACTATTGTCATTTTTATATACAATTTACAAGGTATGGCATCAGTTACCATGGCAACAATTCTTCCTTGCATATCTTACATTTATGTTTTTGTCAAAATTGCACTCTCAATGTTTCAAAAAGGTTAAGTACTACTTTACAAATCAAAAATAAATAAATATGGGCGATACTTCAATGTTATGAAATAATAGAGAACGATTTCTACTAAAATGTTCCATGTACTAGTTCTAGGTAGGTACACATGTAATATTGAAGAGTATGAAATTTTCAGGCCTTTACATATTAAATGTATATTTAGTGGTGCTTAACTGGCTATTAAACATTCTCTGGTCAAACCATTTAGAATTTGCACTTTTAGTGTAAAACAAAAGAAAATGGGTTTGTCACATGGCATATGGAAATTCCCCTAAAGAGACAATTAATCTGTAGAGGTCTTTAACATGTTTGTGCTCATTTACAATGCATGTCGTGTACCCCAACTTAACAAAAAATGAGCTAAAATGCACTATACCGGCATACATAGAAGACTGTACATGGCCATGACACACCAAATACAACTCAGTTATGACTCTTCAAATAAACTGCTATGATACGCCCAATACAACTCTGCTATGTACAATGACAGGCTTAAACCCCTAAAATAAACAAAGCCATACCAAGGGTCCATTTCTAGAATATATCACTGAATTGTTATTCATTACAAGAAATTCATCAAAGCCCCTTCAAATGAAGGACCTTGACAAAATCATATCGATTCCATTCAGAATATTTCAAGGTCAAAAGTTTACAAATTAAATTGAAATCATGAATCTCAGACCATCAATATATACTCAAGAAACAGCCCCCTGTGCATTATTGGCATGTGATTATTATAATAATATTTATTACATATGTTGTTATTATTAATATTATTAGTGAAAATGGGTCAACACAGGTATTTATATCCTGTAAGCCTTTGCTATTTACAATTATGATGAGTTGTCTGATGCGCTTTTAGTGAATTCTTATAATAGAGTCATATAACACTTGTCAACTCTAGGTGAACTGGAAATATAAAATACAACTTGGGTTGCCCCCAACCAGAGGTCTCACAAGGAGAGAAGTCAGGGGACTCTAGTAATAGATGGCACTGACAACAGCAAAGCTTGCTTTTACAATGTCAACTTTGAACACAAGTTTACAGATTGGTGAATTATTGTAACCTTTCTTTTGGGTCACCATGTATAGAACTATTATGAATATTAAAACAAACGAAATGAAAGTTTCTAATGATTTGATGAATGGAGTTGAAACCAACTGCAACTAGAGATGGAGGATATTATTAACATATTATATCCATTCTCAATATAGGTGAAGTTTAGAATTGGAGAAATGGAGGTATGAGTATTTCATCGATGGGATACAGTAAAACCTGTAAATGATAGACCCTGTGTTCAAAGTTTTACAATGGCAAATGGCAACTAAAGAATATTCGTCCTAATGTTGTGGACAAAGTTTCTATCCTCTTCATTAGCTGTGATAATACAATTTATACAAGTATGAATAGCACAATGATAAATAATCATATGTCACTGTTGACTGGGGAAAATTGAGTAGAGCACTATACTGTGTATCAAACTTTTGCTTTATTTACGATACAATCATAGTAAATTTTCATCTGATGAAAGAAAGTCATAACGACAAGTAAATTGTCCTAGTTTCTTGTAAGGTATCTACATGTCTTTAGACAAAGAATTTCTGCAGTTCTTTACTTGATATAAGTACATACTTTTGGCAACAAAAATTGCATTTAACGATAGAAGAAGTAGAGTTAAATATAATGTAGAGTTGGTTCAATATTCAGCTCCTATGCACTTCAACTGTACATGACTTTGATAGTACATGTATCTTAATACCAGCTCTATCCACTCACATACTACAGAAACCACAATACCAAAATATAATGGTGAAGATTTGAAAAAATGATGTTTCATTCTATTTGTCATCCACATTTCCTCTGATGTCTCCATCAATAACTTAGAGGCCTAGTGTCTGTTTTCCAAACTTGTTGAATATCTGTGTGAACTATTGTTGTCTTGCAGCACAATCAAGTGAAGCAAATCAGCGAGCTGAAATCAAGAAATCCACAATTATTAATGATATTCTTTAATAATTAAATAAAGAATGTACGATAATCAGTACTAAACAGTACTATCATATATAAAACAAGGCATTCACATGAAAATGTCACCACCTGCCATTTGATACACATAACAAACACCAGCTGCCAAACACGCCGTACATAAGAAGACTATAACAATATATCACAACTTCTATTGGTGGCATATAAAAACTAACAGCTATGTTTCAAATATTTCTAAATGTCTACATTATTGACTTATTGTACAATGTTTTTATTCACTATTACAGCAACATAATCTTCCATGAAATCTTAACAATATAAAATATAATCAAAGGTGAAATATTATAGTTTTAATAAATTGAACTATCTGCACAAATAAATGAACATGGAATAAATTATAATATACTGGGTCGTCCAAAAAATGCGAATTTACTTATCTTTAATTTGATATATTTATTTTTGAAACACGAGTGTCCGATTTTTTCTTGGACCACCCTGTATTATTTGCGTAACTGAAAACATGCAATTATATTAGGCAATCTATAAATAGATTACATGTAATTAAGCTTGTATTCGCGAATGCAACTTTCAGCTGTCGTCTACCAGATTAACCTACTTTTTTATGACCGACTCATTTAAATATGAATAGTACTCATTTAAATATGAATAGTACCTGCCATTTTTCCATTCATATTTAAATTGATTTGGTCATAAAATAGTAGGATAATCCGGTCGTCACTTTTTGCATTCACGATCACAAGCTAAGTTAAATATGGGTTGTTTATCAAATACTTATTACATGAAAGGAATCAGGGAAAGATCTACAATGGTAAAAGAGGAAATATTATAAGATGGTGAAATGCTAGAATTAATGTGACTATTTCAAGCCTAAATTTCTCATGCTTAACTTGTGGGAAGTTACTCACTCGTCAATTAACCTTGCATAAGTCTTGCAGCAATAATTCACACATCAATTAAACTTGCAAAAAACTTGCAATGAATTAAAGTTATTTAATTTAAAGAAGCTCTGTATGATGGAAATTGGATTAAATATCTAGTGTTTTAAATACATTTTAATTAAAGGGTCTAATAATTCCATATTAGGTTTTGAGTATTAAAATTATAATTATGAAATTTATGAGCAAGAGTTAGAAGCATTATCAATTTTTTAAGCAAACACTTTTTGTTATCTTCATGTAGCAAAGGTTTGGTCATTGTCATGGTGATAAGAATTGGACTTTGATAAACAACCCTATAGGTGTTAGTGATTGAAGATGGCACTAACTGTAACTGCTCCTCGCTCAAAGGTACTGACAATTCACCACACCACACAATCTTCAATATTCGAACTTGAACTTAATAATTGCTCAATTTGTTTGTGTTTATATGACTATTTCAACTCTAATCAAACTGACAAAATCTCAATTTTATAAGATTCATGACCAGATATTGTCCTACTTAGTGAAAAAATATTGAAAAAAATAATTCCTGGTTCAAATCTGCCAATCCGTCAGTAATTTCAGTATTATCTATCTTATACCAAGTTATAGTCTGATACTTGTGATGAGAATACCTGAATACAGTGGACACCATGTATACAGTCTGTTACATGATCCAGGACACTCTGTATATAGTCTGTTACATGATCCAGGACACCCTGTATACAGTTTGTTATATGATCCAGGACACCCTGTATACAGTCTGTTATATGATCCAGGACACCCTGTATACAGTCTGTTACATGATCCAGGGTACCCTGTATACAGTCTGTTATATGATCCAGGACACCCTGTATACAGTCTGTTATATGATCCAGGACACCCTGTATACAGTCTTATATGATCCAGGACACCCTGTATACAGTCTGTTACATGATCCAGGACACCCTGTATACAGTATGTTACATAATCCAGGTATTCTTTAGATCTAGCCTGAAAAACTTAAATCATGTGTGGTGTGTGGAGTGTATGAACAAAATGTTGTTCACAGGTTGAGGTCATACATGTATGGAGATATAGCCCTAGTTTCAATTATCTGTATCTATGTGTTCATAGTGTCAATATGTAGGGCAGTATTTCACCTGGCTATTGCTATATCAGCAAATGTTGCCTTGAATTGGGTCTTATACTGCCCTGCATGTTGTACAGAATTAGGACCTCAACCAGACCCTATAAAGAGTGAGACAGTAGGCTTGAGGAGAGAGAGAGAGAGACAGAGACAAGAGAGAACACCAAGACAGATGAACTAGAGGATGGCCAAACCTTTGCCCTTTATATCTTTTCCTCCGGTACCTGGAGTAGGCACATTATTGGAGCTAGCTGAGGCGGCCGCAGCAGCCTTCTGTTTTAACATGGTCCAATCAAACGTGTAGTCATATTGATGGTTGAGTGTGCGGAACAGAATACGGAACAACTGCCGCAGGTACATGTAGTCGGGGGCCTCTTCAAACCTCAAACCTCGGCAGTAGTTGAGGTACATGGCAAACTCAGCAGGAAAACCCTGTAATTAAACCAGCGATTATTTTATAGAACTACTCCTCTATGAGACTATTGAGAAATAACTATGAGAATGTTTTTCCCTTTTACAAGATTTATATGTCAATCCTCCATTGAAAATGTATATATTTTTATTGATGACATCATAGCGAAGTAGCAAATTGTGCTCAATAAGGGAGAGGGGCAAAAACTTCACAGTGGATTGTATTTGGTCATGCTAAATCAATCTAACCAGCAGTTTTCCTCCTAATTCCCACTAAAAACATCCTCCAAATGCATGTCTCAAACCATCATCCATTCACTTTGTGTCTGGGAAGAAGTTAGTAACAAAGTGGATGTGGTCTCTAGCCATGCATTTGGAGAATGTTCCAGAAGATAATTCTATACAATGCCCTACCTTACAAAGAACCTCCACTGGAGTTGACATTTTCTTCTCAGAAATTTTTTCATATTTTTGTTTCTTTGTGGCTGCCTAAAAAGCAAAACAAATAGGTACAAAATTTTTTTTAAAAAAAACAAGAACAACATAACATCTGAGTAGTTACTTTTGCAATATTCTTCAATATATGCAAAAAGTGAAATATATTTTCTTGTATTGGACAGATAATATTTTCTTTTCCTGGACATAATTCTAATTTGTACGATAATGACGATCAGATACATAAGGATAATATAAAAACTGATCCGCAAAAACTAATGAACATTCATATTTCAGGCAACTGCGATGTTATCTGACCCAAATTAGCCACATGGTGGTGAAACTGGTAACTGCGCACTGGCATATGTGTTGATGGAATAAGCATTTACCTTGAGGCCCTGCCAAGGTAGACTACCTCTGTTGAAATACATGAGGACATAGCCCAGTGACTCCATATCGTCACGGCGACTTTGTTCAATCCCCAGGTGAGCATTGATGCTGGCGTACCTACAGGCAAAATAATTCATTCACTTAGTCAGAATAATTCTTCTTAATGAGCACAAAAGTTACAGTGATTTAATTTGATTTTTTGTTTTTTATTGTATAGACTATATCCAGGTAATGTAAATATACTGTCGGCCACCAATTGCCAAATCAGAATTATAGGTGGCCATCATTTACATAATGACAAAATAAAAGTATAATATTTTGCTATCTTTGGTAGACTGTGCATTAAAGAGTATCCCAGAGTATGGTGTCAAGTAAAAGTAAGTAAAATAAAGAGTGGGTGCTCTTGAGTGCTTCAAGGCTAGGATGAGACCCCTCGCAATCTGCTAAAGATAAAGTTTCATCACCATATGAGAGAAAATGTTGGTTTTGGAATTCAGGACATTTCAAAAATAGATGTTTAAATTTTCCGGTTCCACCACATGAGCAATGAACCAAGTCTATTTAAGTAAATTGGTGTGCAAAAAGTTTTACTTTCAAAAATAAATCAACATGAGCTCTTGAACTATCTATCAAGAGTGAATTCTTGAGTCTTGGCAATATTGTAAAATGTTTTGATGTTGGTGTAAAGTGTAAAATGTTTGATGCTGACATAAGATGTAAAATGTTTGATGCTGACATAAGATGTAAAATGTTTTGATGTTGGTGTAAAGTGTAAAATGTTTGATGCTGACATAAGATGTAAAATGTTTCATGCTGACATAAGATGTAAAATGTTTCATGTTAGTCAAAAATGCAAAATGTTTAATATGGTGCAAAAATGTTTGATCCTTGATTTAAGATTCAAAATGTTTTTTATGCCTCTTGCATTTAGGAGATCCCTTTCACCATCCCTATTAATGCCCTGGTGTTCCTAAACTCATATCTAATGTTACCTCTTTTCATTCAGTGTATGTATAAACTGGAAGAAATAAAATAATAAGAAATTTTGAAATGTATATATGCTCCATTTCAAATAAATACAACTTAATAAGACATCAACATGCAAAATGTCACCACTTGCCATTAGTTACAGATGCCAAACGCTGAACACCATATGCTGAACACTGTCCACAATAACATTGGAGACTATAACAATATGTCACCTCTTATGTAGTGACATAAAAATAAAATTGGGCTCAAAGGTGTAGAATTTGATGTTAGCGTACCTGGCTGTTCCAGTCAGATTCTTGTCTTCCCTGTAAGGTATATGTTGTCGTGTACGGTTGTCACGGTATTTTTTTGCCAAACCAAAATCAATCAGGAAAACCTATAAATCAAAACATTACATATCATCAGTAAATCTACTATATACACAGCATAACATACAGATATAGTCAAAAATAACCTTATTTAGAATTTCAACAAATCAAAAATCCATATGTTTCTATATATACTTCATCACAAGGAAATGATATAATGCATTTTTGAAGAAAACTTTCTTTGTATATCCTCAGTAATGGTGTTAAATATCACAAACTTATCTCAAGGTCGGTGCAAAATTCTTATTTTCACAATTTTGACCAAATATGCTGAATTTTCATGATTTTTCTCACTTTCAAGTGGGTGCAAATGGATTCTCGGGTGGGTGCAGTGCCCACTTGCATAAATGCCGGAAAATGAGGAATTCACTGTTGTTATTCTCTGAATGTTTATCCCAAATATGTAATCTATAGACTATAGTTGACGATCTCAAAATTATTATCCAAAATGGATGGTACAGATACTAACTAGAGATCCTAAAGAACTTATAATGTCCCAAAAACAGTTGAAATAATATTTCCAAATTTAGCAACATAATTATTTGCGCAAATGTTTCCCAATGAACATCTACAATGGTCAATTAGTATAATTTGGTTCAGTTTAGTCAATTAACCGCCTACATTCGTCCATAAAATCCAGATGTGACGTCGTCCTAACAAGCATTAAAGCTAGACCACAAGAAGTATAAGAAAATTCTCTCTCAAACACAAGACACAAAGATATGAAGTTCCCGTGAAAAATAATGTTCAGATTTGAGAGTACATGGTGTCCCAGATGTCATGAGAATATTTTGAGGGAGATTAATAAGGCATGGGTAGTTTTTTGTCAAATTTGGAACACCCATTAAACAAGCATTGAGGAATAACTGACATCAATTTCAGCCTCATAGCTATTATATTTTTGATTTTATTATCAATTGATTGACATGTTGTAGAAAAACCCGGAGCTGTGCTCCAAATTTGACAAAAAACTACATATGCCTTATATCTCCCTCAAAAAATTCTCATGACATCTGGGCATCCTCCGATCACAGGGCTTCAAAATCCAGAATATATTCTTTCATTTTACCCCCTGCGATAAGCAGTTATCATTTCCCCGATTAAGAACTCGCAATCTGATTTGCTGTCGCAACACTGCGACAGAAATCATGTATAAGTCATTGCTCATAATTGGATCACGTGATTCAGTTTAATCGGGCGCTTCCAAATTGGTTATAGCAGGGGGAAGAAGGAGGTACTGATTCTGGATACCTGCTTAGGAGGATGCATCTGGGACACCCTGTATATTACTCAGAGCCTACATGAGTTGGTCATCCAATGTGCAAAATAAAAATGAAAGAGCTGTATCATATTAGGGATCCTGTAATACAAAATCTATTTACAGACTACATCCTTGTCCTCATTCCCTATCTTTAATAGACCCTATTACTTGATATTAAAGTTGACAATACCTATGTAAGATAAAAGCTGAAATAATGAAGATTCCATGTGCTAGGCTCAGGCTTCTGCTGTATGAGACATTTGTACACCAATATCAATATATTTATGTGTGTACTCTAAGAATATAGATTTTTCTCTTCAAATCATGCAAGAGGCATATCCAATAAGTTATTTGATTGATTTCTCTACAATGACTTGCATACCCTTCACACTTATCAATCTTTATCAGACCTCCTACAGATAAAATATTAATAACTAGAATAATGTTTGTTATTATGTTAAGTTATGGGAGGTTTTGGATATTGGATTTATCCCAAGGGAAAATATGCATGCTGACTAGGGTCTGAAAATATTAAATATACATTAGCCATTATATTAAACGCTAATGCATATGTGAAGTTCTGAACTCTGAAATCAACTCTGAATAAACAGATATATGCCTGAATGAAATAAAGGTACAAGATGAGTAGGCTTTTTTGAATCAAACTGCTTTTTGTGTCAGTGGGATTCTGCCTTCACAAACAACAACTCTGGAAAAAGTAACCTTTGATATTTCGTGACTGGTAGACTATTGTAAAAATCACAAATTAACGAGAGAATCAGATCTAGCGAGCAGCCTAACAAAAAATTGTTTCAATTTTAGAACATTTCTGGCTCATGTCATTCCTTTTCATGTATATTTTCAATACCCAAAGTGCACACTTTATTTCAGGAAAACTCGAGGTTTTTACAATAATTTATTACTTTTCTATAAGAATGGTTACCATTCTTATTATTTGGGAGAATTTAAACATTTTCACCCATTTTTGCACTATGAATCCCTTCACCAATTTATAACATATCGTGAATCTTTTGGGAGATATTGTATTTGAGATTGTAAGGAATACATTGGTAGATCAATTGTACATGTTGCTTGTAATTTTGTCACCCCAATAGAGTTTAGATCTAATACATAATTGACTGCAGACAAATTGGGTGCTAACTGCAGAATAGCCAAGAGTAACCAACATAACAATGAACTAATATGATGGCACATTAGCAACATTAGCAACTTTAGCCATTCAGTTTTGTTCTGTGGGCTGGACTGTACAACATACTCATAGATCTTCACTTAACACTTGAAGTTCAAGGTTGGATTATTGATCCAATGTTATCCATTGGGAATTCAACTAATGGTAGACTTATTCTACCAAGTTATTAGTTGTATTACTTGGGAGTGCTGGTTTAAAGAACTGAGAGAACTGAGTCTTGGTCATGTATACACGCTGGCTATCACTGGTGCAATCTGTAAAAATTTGTATTCAAACATGATCAAATTGTTGTTCATGTGTATGTTTTTAAAAGAATAAGAAATGGGTTAGCTGTGTACAACACCATCACAGATTAGGATAAATCCCACATACTGACATATTATGATTTATGAGGTCAATTTATGCAAATAAATATTGAACTAAAGCTGAACTGCATTAGGTTTATCCCATGTGCCATTCTGAGTCTTGGAGCCTTTCTAATGTTGTAACATTCAAATTATGCAATCTTGCCTGAAGTGATTATCAATCAAGAGTCAGAAACATTGCAGCTTACATATTATTTGCAATTACAGTAGACTGCACTGGTAATTTAGTTAATTGTAATGGTTACTATGTATATTACGATCGTAACTTTATCGTGATGCTGACAAGATACAGTATTGCAATGGTAGCTTCAAGATTATTGTGACAGTGATATACAGTATTGTGACAAAGTATTGCAGTGGTAACTTGAAGATTCTAAGAATCTTGTAATGGTAACACACCTTATTGCAATGGCGACCGATTCCCATCAGGAAGTTATCTGGCTTGATGTCCCTGTGGATAAAGTTTTTGTTGTGCACATATTCAATCCGACCAATCATCTGAAAATAAACGACAATGAGGGAATTTTTAATCAGTGATAATCAATTATATCTGTAATAAGTATATTTATGATTTACTTGTGACATGTATAAAAGCACTATGTACTGGACAGCTTGGATTTCCGAGGTCTGAAAATCATACAAGTATGCAAATACCATATTATACTCATGGAGATGGATCGAAAGATTTATTGGCTATAGGGGACCGAGCTGTTTTTCTTAAAAATATGAACAAAACCTCACAATTTAATTTCTAATTGCTATAACTAATATAATATTAAATTGATTTAAGAAAATAATTGTTTGATATTTGTATTTACCATTATACGATAAGAATGATATAATGGACACATGCAGTACCATGTGAATGCTAGTAGTCAGACAAAAAAAACATGACAGAAAATGTGAAATCCAGAACTTGATTACATAATGATTCTACTGTATAACCCCAAGTACTTTATTACCAATACTGTCCTTTGGCTATATTACAGATAATGAGACAGTTCTGATGATTTTAAATCTTAGACAATCAAAAGCTTTTAGATAGTAATTTATGGCCATTTTATTTTAAAGGAATGTTTGTAATGTCATGATGTTCTGATGATTCCATATTTCAATCAAACATAATCCAGAAATCTTACTACGAGAGTAAAGATGAAGCTGAGCTTTTGACTCATTATAGGATCACTACAGGATCACTACTGTTCTTCTACTTAATTTGGAGCTCCTTATTTTGGCGGATTTGCTGTTTTGAACATTTGGCGATGACTTAATTTAGCGGACTTGCAATACTGAAATGTATACCATACAAATTTACAATTGAAATATAAAACATTGAATCTGGCGGATACTTAATTTGGCAGACTTTAACAATCAAAACAGCCACCAAATTAAGTAGAAGTTCACTATCTCCTCTACACATTTACTGCCTCGTGTTGTATTCACATTCAATCAAATCAAGCAAAAGTCTAATATTCACTATTCATATATTAAAAAATTAAAGCTTTGATATTAAGGAAGTGCCTTTTTAAAATTAAGAAATTGCTTGGCCACCTTATTATCACTTAATTATAAAAATATACTACATATTGGTGAGATCTACACATTAGCTGAAAAATGTTTCTCAGCTAATGAAAAATTGCATCACCTTGGTAACATAATAACTATTGTATGATGAGTTATAAGGGCCTTGGGCCAAAGGTATTATTTGATAATATATTCGAATATAAGTAATGTACATGTACAGTGGAATATGAAGTGATAAGATTCTCAAATTTTGGGGTATAATAGGTTTAAAATAAGGCTATAAGAAATCTAGGGATACCCCCCCCCCTCCCCATTGATATATACTCGTACCTGGTCAGCCAACATGAGTACTGTTTTCATAGTAAACCTCCTGGAGCAGAAGTTGAAGAGATCTTCCAGACTTGGCCCCAGTAGGTCCATTACTAGTACATTGTAATCTTTCTCATTGCCGTACCATCTAAAACATAGCAAAACAATAGCAACATTAGAAGACAAGATAATACTTGACTTGAAAATAGAGAGACGTCATTTAACAGACGTCATTTAACTAACTTATTGCATGTTCAATAATCCCATATAACGTATAAATGAAGCGTTTGATTACGTCATCATTTATTGCGCAGTCTGATATTCTTACGTATAGATGACGACGATTCAGAAGACTATCACACTTGTGGACGTAGAGAGCTGCGCAATAAATGATGACGTTATCAAATGTTTCATAAGTTATACGGGAATAATAATCATTGTATACGTGACATGAAATCTCTCTATTATCATGTTATGCACCTTTATTTCATAACAGTGTTCGCGTTGACGCCGTTTTTTGCCATTTTTACGGAAATTTCAGAAGGTTGGACGTAAAAATCAAAATCAACTTATGTCCCTAGGACGCAAAAATTATAAACTGCATCAAGATAACTTTTACTGCAGCACAGAAGCGGTAACATGATTTTCATCAAGATTTTCAAACTCACTAGATCTACCTTGATATACGAGCAATGATCCAGGTATATTTATGTCGACAAATCTGATTGGCTATCATGGCGACCGAAGATTAACAGGGTTTCCAGTATGAGACATGAATTTTGATTGGTTCCGATATATTCCGGAAAATGCCGCAATCGAAATGGAAGATCAAAACATACAATATTGCAGAAATCCCCTGTGGTGCCCCACAAATTGAAACGATTGTTTTTCACGATTATCTTTATTATTTCCACTAGGAACCATTATATATTGATCTAATGTTATACATCAAGATAATTGTTTAATGATAGATCGAGGTTTTCCATCTAAAAGTCTTCAGAATAAGGAGAAATGTTAATAAAAAGAAGCGAAACTTCACGACCTTGACATGACCTTCAAGATCGCAGGTTTGTAAAATGTGAAAACAAAACTCTTAATTTGAGCATTTCCTTTATTCATATCGGACTATTTTGGTATAACATTACTTAAGAATTGTGTGAAAAGGACCCAGTGATAAATATTTATCGGGAGGATGCATCAAATTACAATATATGTCATTTTTATCCCATTTTAGTGTAAGCACTCTATTATCGCCCACTTTATTTTCACTTTCACAATATTTTCTTGAACTTTGTGAAGAAATAAGAGGGACGCAAAAGAATTAGATGGGGACTCAAATTTTTCAAATGGGTTGCGTCCCAGGGACTCAGAAATTTAAATGGCTAGCGCGAACACTGCATAATAACAAGGAAAGCATATAGAATATAATGAGGAAAGCACCTTTAGAAGACACGAACCAATTTTTTACAAATATTATTATTAAAAAAATCTTTATTAAATTAGATGTTCCTCGATGCTCTATTTTGGGGTATATGGCATCCTTGTAGTATAACTGTTGTAAATGAGATAAGAGAAGTCCATTAGAAGTCCACTCTTCTTGCTAAGGGGGTGGGGGACTTTTTGACAGTTTTGGCAAAAAAAACTCAAAAGTGCTCAGAATGGTGAAAAACTGCATGAATTTAAGAGAATTTCCCCGAGGGTAAGCTTCAGCCCTAGATCCCCCTTGATCATGGGCCTGGATCCTTACATCACAAAAGCGTTAACATAATCATCTATATAACAAACATCGAACAGAGTGTTAATTAGGATTTATATATGATGAATCCTAACAATATTTTTTATCATAGAGACAATATTACGAAAAACAAAAATTACAAAAAACATTTCTGGTTCGTACTACAGAGAAAATATTACAAAAAACAATGTTATGAAATACATCTCATTCATATTTTAAGATTGCTTCTTGATTTTTCAAAAATTCAAATAAATTAGGATATCTCAGACTTCAGCAAGATGATCAAGTGAAATCAATGACTGTCCCTCTGAGGTTCTTTATATGATTGTTACTTCGAGGTTCTATGGTTGTCAATTTGAGGTCCTATGGTTGTCAATTTGAGGTTCTATGGTTGTCCATTTGCGGTCCCATGCCTGTCAATTTGAGGTTCTATGGTTGTCAATTTGAGGTTCTATGGTTGTCAATTTGAGGTCCTATGGTTGTCAATTTGAGGTTCTATGGTTGTCCATTTGCGGTCCTATGGTTGTCAATTTGAGGTTCATTGGTTGTCAATTTAAGGTTATTTAGTTGTTACTTTGAGATTCTATGGTTGTCAATTTGAGGTTCTATGGTTGTTACTTTGAGGTTCTATGGTTGTCAATTTGAGGTTCCATGGTTGTCAATTTGAGGTTCTATGGTTGTTACTTTGAAGTTCTATGGTTGTCAATTTGAGGTTCTATGGTTGCCAATTTGAGGTTCTATGGTTGTCAATTTGCGGTCTTATGGTTGTCAATTTAAGGCTCTAAGGTTGTCAACTTGAGTTTCTATGGTTTTTACTTTAAGGTTCTACAGTTGTCAATTTGAGGTTCTTGGTCACTTTAAGTTCTATGAGTGCCATTTTAAAAACATATAAATGTATTGTGAATTGAAAGATGAACCAAACCATCACAAATGATCTAATATTTCAACTGAACCACGACTGCCTATAACTGCATATACATTCAGATTTCAGATTCATGATCTTAATTACCTTCAATCCCACATACGGGGTCATATACAAAGCAAATCCACTGTGATATCTTAATATAATATTTCAGCAGAAGTTCAATGACTTCCAGAAATTTGGTAGACATTACGCATGAACCTCGTCTATTACAAGTCTACTGTTATATAATTCATGATTAGCGAGTCAACGTTACTATTGCCAAGTAACACAAGAGGAGGTAACTAGAAAATTGACGCAATTGACTATTTTATAGTATAGATTATTTTAGAAACCATTTTACAGTAGATCTTCTGGGTAAATTTTCAGATTGAAATATAAGATGATCGATCTATTTGAGTTACTATAATATTATATAGATGCTAGTGTAATGAACTACAGTAGATCTAGGTTTACTAAGGAGTAAAATTGCTGGCATATATTTTATTTGATCAGTATGAAAACATATCTCATATTTGCAAGAATCAAATCTATAAACACTAGTAGCAAAATATGAAGATACACTTCGGTCACTTTACTTATACTGAAATTAAGGAGATAAGATCTGAGGAAAATGTGGCCAAGTGGTATATCATGTACAGTTAACCCTGTTAGAGACAAGAACGCAGGGAAATCTCTAATACACATCTATACTTGAGTGCAGTCTCATCTGTTCACTTCATGTTAAGATATTGGGTGCAAATTATTCAGATATTGATCTGCAGATCAACAATTCTGCTTTTTATTTCACATTCCCCAAATGTATGCAGTTAACTCTTTTATTTCTTTTCAGTAAGATGTGAATGAGAATTTGTTGAAACAATAAGATGCTCTTGTTTTATGGTTAATTTTATTGCAGATTAATTCAGCACAATAATCATTTTATTCACCAGAGCATATATGTACATCTATGTACAGGTTAAAAGAATGGTCCAGTAGCTGTTTATGAGATTACCCAAGTAAAAAACTCATTTTTCAAAAGTGTGATATTACAAAATTGATATGTTGTAAAATTAATCAATCATCAAATTGCGCCTCTGTTATAGCATGGAGTCACCTATTTCCAGGATACATGATTCAGCTTACCTTAGGAAAAACAGCATTCAGTGATCTCTTCAGGATTAAAGCAAGTGGGTGCAGAACCAACCTGAGATTTCATAGCCTTGCACCTACTTTGGGAATCCAATTGCACCAACTTGTAAATGAGATAAATCATGAAAATGGGCATATTTTGACCAAATTTGGTCTGAATTGTGAAAATGAGAATTTTGCACCCACTTGAGAAAAAATCCTGTGGTGAACACTGACCATTGCCAAATTGCCAATTATAATGATAATGTGAACTCTTCATGAGATCATATACTCTATTAACTTATACATTGTACTTAAAAATGAAAGGATAGCAGCCATGGCTGTTTTTTTACAAAATCTTTCTACTACTTTTCAGAATATAGAAAAAGTTGTAAAATAGCACACAAAAATGGCCACCATTTTCAAAATGGTCACTCACAAGCCAAATCATCAAAAGAAAGTATAATATACTTATAAGTAGGCACATATCAGTACATATCCCCATAGAACACATGTGTACAAAATATGAATAAAATCAGGTCAATGTTATTTGAGTTATAGCTTGGATGGATGGACAGATGGATGTAGGCATTCCTTATATCCCGTCGGAAGTAATAATAAGCAGTTCATCCCCCTCTCCAGTCAATAACTAGATATATTAGATATTGTAGGATGGCCTTAGTCTACTGGTCTTAATAATTAACATACTGTGTTTTATGTGTATAGGAATACTGATACAGGCAATCGTAGATGCAGTATAAGGAGTCTGAAGCATCTCACCTTGAAACATCAAAAAGTCAAATGCTAGTAGTATACAATTAACACGTTCAAGGTTTACTTGTTGTACAGCTTTACATGTATTTTATAGGCATATGGAGGTCTCTGAAAATATGTCTGCTAATCCCATGTAAAACTGTTAACACTTTCCTGAACACCTTCATAAAGTGAACCCCATTCTCAAGTAAATACCTATGTAAAATAAATACTTATAAAATGTAAACACCTTTCTAGCTGTGGTATCAGGGTCTCTAATATGAACACTTATACATGTAGTTAGGTCTTGCTAGAACTATTCACGAAAATAAATGGGCTTTATTTATTATTATCAGCTCACTAATGAGCAAGGCATAAACATACAAAATGTCACCACCTAACATTTGTTACAGATGCCAATCACTACTCATTGAATGCCAAATGCCAACTGCCACTGAATGCCAAACACTTGAAGTTTAACACTATCAATTATAACAGCAGTTTGATGATATACTCTCTTACTATCTAAGCAATCTTAACACAACCAAAAATGATTATATCATCCAGCATTAATCGACATAATACACAACATAATGCCAAGTGTAAAAATGAGGGAGCACACTGTATA